TGGACAACAAAGTGAGACCCTGTCTTTACAAAAAAAAGTTTAAAAAGAAAAAAGAGCGAGGCGTGGTGGTGTGCGCCAGTAGTCCCAGCTAGTTGGAGGTTGAGGCAGGAGGATTGCTTGAGCCCAGGAGTTCAAGGCTGCAGTAGCCATGATCACATCAGTGCACTCCAGCAGTGGTGTGATCTCAGCAACAGAACAAGACCCTGTCTCTACAACAACAAATAAAAAAGATACAGATTAAAATATTTACAGTTGAAATGATATACTTTCTAGGATTTGCTTCAAAATAATCTGGAGGGGATGAGGTAGGGAGCATTATGGCGGGGGGAATCAGTCATGAGAATTGCTGAAGCTTGGTGTTAAGTAATGAGAGTTCATTATATTCTCTCACAACTTTTTTGTAAGTTGTTAATTTTTTATTATTTGGAAATTAGAAAAAGTAAGCTGGCCATATAAGAATGGCTCAAAAAAAGATAAAAAAACCTCAGTGACATAACTAACCGATTATTTTTTCATAGTCAAGTTTACCACTCTTTTTTATAGTAAACTTTTTGTTTTGTATTAATTTTAGATTTGTAGAAAAAAAAGATGGTACAGAGAATTTCCATATACCCCTGTATTAGTTCATTTTCATGCTGCTGATAAAGACATACCCAAGACTGGGAAGAAAAAGAGGTTTAATTGGACTTACAGTTCTGCATGGCTGGGAAGACCTCAGAATCACGCGGGTGGCTAAAGGCACTTCTTACATGGTGGCAGCAAGCAAAAATGAGAAAGAAGCAAAAGCAGAAACCCCGTAATAAGCCCATCAGAGCTCATGAGACTTATTCCCTTTCATGAGAATAATATGGAAAATACCGGCCCTAATGATTTAATTAGTTCCCCCGGGTTCCTCCCACAACACATGGGAATTCTGGGAGATACAATTCAAGTTAAGATTTGGGTGGAGATACAGACAAACCATATCATTCTGTCCCTGGCCCCTCCAAATCTCACGTCCTCACATTTCAAAACCAATCATGCCTTCCCAGTGGTCCTCCAGAGTCTTAACTCATTTTAGCATTAATCCCAAAAGTCCACAGTCCAAAGTCTCATCTGAGACAAGGCAAGTCCCTTCCACCTATGAGCCTGTAAAATCAAAAGCAAGCTAGTTACTTTCTAGATACAGCGGGGGTACAGGTATTGGGTAAATACAGCCATTCCAAATGGGAGAAATTGGCCAAAACAAAGTGGTTACCAGCCCTATGCAAGTGCAAAATCCAGCAGGGCAGTCAAATTTTAAAGCTCCAAAATGGTCTCCTTTGACTTCAGGTCTCACATTCAGGTCACGCTGATTCAAGAGGTGAGTTCCCATGGTCTTGGGACACTCCACCCTGTGGCTTTGCAGGGTACACCTTCCCTCCCGGCTGCTTTCACAGGCTGGCGTTGAGTTTCTTTGACTTTTCCAGGTGCATGGTGCAAGCTGTCTGGAGGACGGTGGCCCTCTTCTCACAGCTCCACTAGGCAGTGCCCCAGCAGGGACTCTGTGTGGGAGCTCCGACCCCACATTTCCTTTCCACACTGCCCTAGCAGAGGTTCTCCATGATGGCCCTGCCCCTGCAGCAAACTTTCGCCTGGGTATCCAGGTATTTCCATACATCTTCTAAAATCTAGGCAGAGGTTCTCAAACTTCAATTTTTGACTTCTGTGCACTCACAGGATCAACATCACATGGAAGCTGCCAAGGCATGGCGCTTCCACCCTCTGAAGCCACAACCTAAGCTGTACGTTGGCCCCTTTCAGTCACAACTGGAGTGGCTGGGACACAGGGCATCAAGTTCGTAGGCTGCACACAGCACAGGGGCAATGGACCTGGTCCACATAACCACTTTTTCCTCCTAGGCCTCTGGGCCTGTGATGGGAGGGCCAGCCATGAAGGCCTCTGACATGCCCTGGAGACATTTTCCCCATTGTCTTGGGAATTAACATTTGGCTCCTTGTTACTTATGCAAGTTTCTGTAGCTGGCTTGATTTCTTCTCAGAAAATGAAATTTTCTTTTCTATCGCATTGTCGGGCTGCAGATTTTCTAAACTTTCATGCTCTGCTTGCTTTATAAAACTGAATGCCTTTTACAGCACCCAAGTCACCTCTTGAATGCTTTACGGCTTAGAAATTTCTTCTGCCAGATGCCCTAAATCCTTTCTCTCAGGTTCAGAGTTCCACAAATCTCTCAGGCAGGGACAAAACATCACCAGCCTCTTAGCTAAAACACAGCAAGAGTGACCTTTGCTCCAGTTTCTCATCTCCATCTGAGACCACCTCAGGCTGGACCTTATTGTTCATATTACTATCGGCATATTTGTCAAAGCCATTCAACAAGTCTCTAGGAAGTTCCAAACTTTCTTACATTTTCCTGTCTTCTGAGCCCTCCAAACTGTTCCAGCCTCTGTCTGTTACTCAGTTCCAAAGTCACTTCCACATTTTCTGGTATTTTTTCAGCAATGCCCCACTTTACTAGTACCAATTTACTGTATTAGTCTGTTTTCACTCTGCTGATAAAGATATACACAAGACTGGGAAGAAAAAGGTTTAATTGGACCTGCAGTTCTACACAGCTGGGGAGGCCTCAGAATCATGGCAGGGGTGAAAGGCACTTCTTACATGTTAGTGGCGAGAGAAAATGAGGAAGAAGCAAAACTGGAAACCTCTGATAAACCCATCAGATCTTGTGAGACTTAATCACCATCACGAGAGTAGTATGGGAAAGACTGGCCCTCCCTTGATTCAAGTACCTCCCCCTAGGTTTCTCCCACAACATGTGGAAATTCTGGAAGATACAATTCAAGGTAAGACTTGGGTGGGGACACAGCCAAACCGTATCAACACCTTACCCAATTTCTTTCATTATTTAATTTCTTATATTAGCATGCTATATTTGTAAAAACTAAGAAACCAACATTGATACATTACTGTTAATGAAACACCAGACTTTATTTGAATTTTACCAGTTTTTCTTTATAGTTCCCTTTCTATTTCAGAATCTAATCTGGGGTACCACATTGCATCCAGTTATCATGCCACCTTAGTCTTCTTTGGTCTGCGACAGTTTTTCAGCCTTTCCTTTTCTTTTTTTTTTTTTTGACCTTTGCGTAAGTCTTGAGTACTGGCTAGGTATCCAATCTGAGTTTATCTATTGTTTTTCTCATGACTAGAGTGGGGTTTGGGGTATTGGGAAGGAATACCACAGAGGTGAAGTGCTCTTATCACATTACATCAGGGAGTGCATGCTATCAACACACCACTGATGATGTGAACCTTCTTGGCCTGGTTGAGGTATTGCATTTGCTGATTTTCTCTAATATTTTTCTCTTTCCCTGTTCTATTCTTTGAAAGCAAGTTACTAAGTATAGCCCAGTCTTATTTTGGGCAGTGAGGGTGATTTTGCTCTACTTTCTGGAATGGAGATGTTTTCGGGATTCCTAAGACCACCTGCAGGTTCAGTGATTCACTAGAAGAACTCACAGGAATCAGCATAAGGCCATACTTGTGGCAAGCTTTTTTATGGCAAAAGACTCCCAAGCAAAATCAGCAAAGGGAAAAGGTGCTTGGGAAGCAGTCTGGAGGAACCCATCTAGAAACTTCCAAGAGTCCTCACTCAGTGGAGTCACACAGAATGCACAGAATTCCCCTTATGACAGGTTGTGACAACACATTTAAAGTGTAATCTTATGGGGAAGCTTGCCTAAGCCTAGGAGTCCAGGGGTTTTACTGGGGGCTGGTCAAGGAGGCATCCTCTGCCTAGTGTGTCCAACATTTTTAGACTTCCAGAAGGAAAGGGGTATTCAACATTCATCACATTGTTTGCGTAAAGCAGGGGTGTCCAGTCTTTTTGCTTCCCTGGTCCACACTGGGAGAATTGTCTTGGGCCATACATAAGATACACTAGCAGTAACAATAGCTGATGGAAGAATTGTCCTGGGCCACACATAAAATACAGTAACAATAACTGATGATCTAAAAAATAAAAAAATCACAAAAAGATCTCATAATATTTTAAGGAAGTTTCCGAATGTGTGTTGGGCCAAATTCAAAGCCATCTTGGGCCGCATGCAGCCCATCTGCCATGGGTTGGGCAAGCTTGGTGTAAACCATTTAGGCACAGTGACATACTTTTATAATTTATGGAAGGGTTTTATATCAACATGGGGAACTGTTTACTATCCAAGTTTCCAGCCCCCAGCTAGGGTTAAGCTTATGAGGAGGCCTTTTTAAAGATAATAGTCTCAGGCCTTCAGTGTTCTTTTCTACATAGGGAAGTATTTAGATAGTACTTTCACTACCCATTTTTATTTTGAGGGAAAAAAAAATCAGATAAAAAATATAGCACATAATAATAGAAGCTATATGATAGTAAGAATGACAAAATGAAATTTAGGATCAGATAGGGGTGTTTAATTTCCTTCTAATAAAACGTGGCAATCTGGGCCATTTTTCTTGTTCTTTTAGTATTTTTCTTGCCAATTTTTTAACATTGCTATAAAAATATTACTCATATTGCAACTTTTGGTGCTCCAAAAGGATTTCATAATTTTAAAAATGCCTCCGGGTTGTAAGGCATTTAATTGCCAAATAATTAGAAGAAGGCTGCATAAATTTTCAGTAATAAGTCATAACCTTACAACCAAAACCTGGGTGGATAAGATTTAAGACACAATATGGCTGGGTACAGTGGCTCATGCCTTTAATTTCTGCACTTTGGGAGGCCGAGGTGGGTGGATCACCCGAAGTCAGGAATTTGAGACCAGCCTGACCAGTATGGTGAAGCCCCATCTCTACTGAAAAAAAAAATAACGATAATAAAATACAGGAGGCTGAGGCAGGAGAATCGTTTGAATCCCGGAGGTGGAGGTTGTAGTGAGCTGAGGTTGTGCTACTGTACTCCAGCCTGGCTGACACAGTGAGACTGTGTCTCAAAAATAAACTACAGTATTTATTAGTCATTTACTTTCTCTTTTAATAGGAAAAACGTGGTCTTCGAGAAATGCGAGTTCTTGAAAATTTGAAGAATATGATCCATGAAACAAATGAACATACTCTTCCCAGATGTAGAGACACAATGCGGGACAATCTGAGCCACGTTCTCCAGAGATGTGAGCCAGCAATTTTTTTTTTTATTGCTTTTCATTTCAAATGAATGCTGCAGCAAAATATATTTCCTTGAGTATTAATTATGGTGGGAGGTGGAGAGGGAAAGTTCTTAACCTGGATACATAAGAGGGAAGCCCAATTACAGAGAAAGTAGTTTTCTAGTGATTAATGTGTTGGCATTGATGTTAAAAGCATTAATCTCCAATGCAAGATGTGAGCATCTGTGGTGCACGAGACAATCTGTTTAGTATATGAGAAAGTCAAAACATTTTTCACCCATTTTTACAGCTTTTTTTTTTTTTTTTTTGAGACATAGTCTCACTCTGCCTCCCAGGCTGCAGGGCAGTGATGCAATCTTGGCTCACTACAACCTTCGTTTTCCAGAGTCAAGTGATTCTTGTGCCTCAGCCTCCTGAGTAGCTGGACTACAGACATGCACCACCATGCCTGGCTAATTTTTGTATTTTTAGTAGAGATGGGGTTTTACCATGTTGGCCAGGCTGGTCTCAAACTACTGGCCTCAAGTGATCCACCTGCCTCAGCCTTCCAAAGCGCTGGGATTTTTTACAGGCATGAGCCACCACACTCGGCCTATTTTTACAAAAAGTTTTATCTGTAAAAAACAGATTTGAGGCTCTGCCATAGTCATGGCTGTAATTCCGACACTTTGGGAGGCTGAGGCAGGTGAATCATGAGGTCGGGAGTTTGAGACCAGCCTGGCCAATAAGGTGAAACCCCGTCTCTACTAAAAATACAAAAATTAGGGCATAATGGTGCATGCCTGTAGTCCCAGCTACTTGGGAGGCTGAGGTGGAAGAATTGCTTGAACCCAGGAGGCAGAGGTGGCAGTGAGCTGAGATTGCGCCACTGCACTGTAGCCTGGGCGACGGTGAGACTCCATCTCATTTTTTTGGTTACTAGGAACTGGGAAGATCTGAGATGATCTTTTTCACATAGGGGACTAGAGGTTTTAGCTTTATTCAGAAAATAATCCTTTCATAAATGTTTACATTTTTATCACTTTTTTTCATTAAGTAAAGTATATTAATGTGGAGAGATGATTGATCAAAATGAATGTTATTAATATTTTTAGTATCAAATCATAACAAAGTAAATTCAAGTTTATTAGTAACTGATTTAGAAATTGTAAGTATTTCAGAAACTCAAGATTTATACTGCCAGTATTCAGCTCATCCAAGTGATGTGCAGGAAGGAAGTCAGGAGTAACAAGTGGGGATAACACTGGTAAATAATGATGGGTTACTGAAGTGCAAAATGCAACAGATCTTTCTCAAGGGAAAAAAAGCCAAAAAAGAAAATAAAAAACCACACACAAACTGACCTGCAGTAGAATGGCTGGTGAAGAAAGGCAGCAGAGAGACCTTGGTGAATAGCTGAATTAACTAAGTCTTTGTGTCCAAGTTGAAGTTAATGGTCTCGTGTACTCTAATGCTAAAAGGAGGTTGGAGAAGATAGAGCTCCCAGATCACATTTGGTTTCTCTGAGTAGAAGAGTAGAAATATAAAACTGGCTTTTAGGCTTTTGCATTTTATGACAGACATGCCCTCGTTTGTTCATAGACACATCCTTAACCCTGTCAGACATTCTAATTGGCATGCTAAAAGGAAAACTCCAATAGTTATCAATAAGAATTGTTTATGTATGAGGCTGGGTGTGTGGCTCACGCCTGTAATCCTAGCACTTTGGGAGGCCAAGGTGAATGGATCATCTGAGGTCAGCAGTTCAAGATTACCCTGGCCAACATGGTGAAACCCCCTCTCTACTAAAAATACAAAATAAAAATACAAAAATTAGCTGGGCGTGGTAGCAGGCACCTGTAATCCCAGCTACTCAAGAGGCTGAGGCGGGAGAATTACTTGAACCTGGGAGGTAGAGGTTGCAGTGAGCTGAGATCGTGCCATTGCAGTCCATCTGGGTAAAGTAAATGTTTATCATCTTCCCCACCTTAACTGAAAGTTATAGTGAACACTCCAGATTCCCCAGTAATAATTGGAGGAACTACCATGCCAGCCTAGTTCTTCTACCTCCAGAGCTCAAGTTCAACTTCAGGATGTTACTTCTATATATCTTTGAAGAGATAGTAAGAAAAGTCTGCCTTTATTCCTAGATTATCACTTTTTCTTGGATTTCCTCCTAGACTGCAGGTTCTTCCTTCTCAATCAACTTTGTGAGTTCCCACTTGTCTTCCTTGACTTTTAAACTTGGGGTGCTCCCAGGCTTGGTTCTGTGACTGCCTTCCTGTTTAAACTCGCTTGCTTGGTGAGCTCATACAGAATCACGTCTTTCAGTGTCATCTGTATACCAATCAATAATTAAATTCCGCATTGGTGTTTTTAGCCTGGTCCCATACCCCTGTATTCCGAACTTTTGTATGCAACTGCCTAGTCCGCTTAGATATTCAATAAGCGTCTCAGTATAACATGTCCAGAACTAAACCTCGGTGTTCTTTTCAGTTCTGCTTTATCTCACTCTCTCCCATTTCAGTGATGGCATCACCATTCACTTAGCTGCTCAGACTGGAAAACCTGAACTTCGCCTCTCCCTTCCTCTTTTATTCCTTTTTCTTCTACCCTTCCTCCCTTGCCTTCTCCTTCCCCATCCTCTGCTTTCTTTCTTCCTTCCTCTCTTGTCTCTTTCTTCCTCTCTCTCCCTTTCCTACAAGTATTTTATTAGTAAATCATTTTGGTTCAACTTTGAGAATATAAGCAGAATCTGACCATCCTGACCACGTCACCAACTCCTGCTTCCGTGGTTAAAGCCACTGTTGTCTTCACTTGGATTGTTCTTGTAGCCCCATAACTCATCTCAGTGCTGCTTGTTTTTCCTCCCTATAGTCTTCTCCACGTGGGAGCCTGAATAATCCTTTGATGTAACTTAACTCTTGTCATTGCTGTATTCTGAATCACCTCATGCGGCTAGAGTTCTGTAATGGCCAAGACATTTCTACAAAATGGCTCCACTCTGACTTTCATTTCCTACTCTTTCTTTTTTCTTCAATTCATTCTAGCTACGCTGGCCACCTTACCCTTCCTCTAATTGCCACCTCAGGGCCTTTGCACCTGCTGCTCCCTTGGAACACTTAACTCTCAGATGTCCATATTCTCATTTCCTGTAGGTCTCTGCTCAGCTATCAACCATGAGACCTTCCTTGGTTCTTCTGTAATGCTCATCCTCCTTCACTCTGGAATGCCCTGGCCTCCCTACTTTGCTTTGTTTTTCTCTGTAGCATTTATTACAACATGACATATTAATATCTATCTATTTATTGTCTGTCTTCCCAACTAAAATTTGAGTCCTGTAAGCTCAGGACTCTTTTTTGTTGTCGTTCACTGTGGTATCTCAGGCACCTAGAAGAGTGCGTGCTACTTAATAGCCACTTGGTAGTTATTTGTTCATTGAAATGAATGAGTGAGCATTCAGCCAAAATCTGTTCCTAATGCCAAGGGTGAAATTATTTTCTTTTGTATAAAGCTAATACTATAATTCCTTAGCTTTTTAAAAATAACTTTACTTTTGTATTGTTGTATAATGTACATGTTTTGGGGGTACTTATAGTAATTTAGTGCTTTCATATAATTTGTAAAGACCAAAGAATGTAATTCATATATTCATCACCTTAAATATTTTTCTTTTCTTTTTGCTAAAAACATTCAAATTATTCTCTTCTAGCTATTTTGAATTACATAATGGATGATTGCAAGCTATAGTCACCCTACTGATATGTCAAATACTAGGTCTTATTTCTTCATCAGACTATATATTTCTATCCATCAATCAGCCTCTCTTCATGCCCTCCTCCTCACTATATTTCCTGGCCTCTGGTAACCACCAATCTACTTTCTATATTCATGGGATCCATTTTAGCTCTCATATGATTGACAGCATGCAGTGTTTATCTTTCTGTGTGATCTAGTTCCACCCATGTTGCTGCAAATGATGGGATTTCATTCATTTTTATGGCTGAATAACATTCTATTTTGTATATATACCACATTTTCTTACCCATTCACGGGAATTTAGGTTGGATCCATATTTTGGCTAGTGCTGCAATAAACATGTGAGTGCAGATGTCTCTCTTCTTTTCTTTTAGCTATATACCCAGTATTGTGGAATTACTGAATCATATGGTAGTTCTGTTTTTAGTTTTTGAGGAACTTCCAAATAGTTCTCCATGGTGGTCGTACTAATTTATATTCTGATCGACAGTGTACAGGAGTTTCCTTTTCTCCACATCCTTGCCAGCATCATTATTCCTTGTCAAATAAAAGCCATTTTAACTAGAGTGAGATGCTATCTCATTGTGGTCTGATTTGCGTTTCTCTGATAATTAGTGATGTTGGGTATTTTTTTCATATACCTTTTAGCCATTGTATGTCTTTTGAGAAATGTCTCTTTTTTTGAAACAGATCTTTGCCTATTTTTAAAATCGGATTCTTTGGGTTTTTTGCTATATTGTTGTTTGAACACCTTATATATTCTGGTTTTAATCCCTTGTCAGATGAAGTTTGCTAATACTTTCTCCTCCTGTGGGTTGTCTCTTCAACTTGCTGATTGTTCTCTTTGCTTCATGGAAGCGTTTTGTTTGTTTATTTATTTTGAGATGGAGTCTCGCTCTGTCGCCAGGCCGGAGTGCAGTGGCACGATGTCGGCTCACTGCAACCTCTGCCTCCTGGGTTCAAGTGATCCTCCTGCTGCAGCCTCTCAAGTAGCTGGGGTTATAGGTGCCCACCACCACACCCAGGTAATTTTTGTATTTTTAGTAGAGGCGGAGTTTCACCGTGTTGGCCAGGCTGGTCTCGAACTCCTGACCTCATGATCCGCCCGCTTCCACCTCCCAAAGAGCTGCGATTGCAGACCTGAGCCACTGTACCCAGCCCATGGAATCGTTTTAACTTGATGTAATCCCATTGGTCTGTTTTTGCTTCAGTTGCTTTACTTTTGAGGTCTTACAGAAGAAAGTCTTTTTGCCCAGGCCAGTATC